GAACATACGCTCGGAGCGGAGGGTTCGTCGCCGAAACGTTTGCTGATCATGATGGTCTTATGCCTTTAACAGGCCCACCCAAGAGCGCCATAAAAACGCCTATGTAACATTCGCCCGAATACTACACAGCGACGGAGCGTAGAAAAAGTACCTATTAACGACTGGCAGGCGTCAGTTACCTTAATTCTACTCGTTTTTCGCCGTCTCGACCTAGCCAGTTGATTTTCTGTTCTGTTTAGGGCTAAGTAAAAGTTAATATTATCAGGCCATCAGTCAAACGACTTTTGATAACCTTTCGTTTATATGCGAACACAACCACTTAGCTGAGTCTCGGATCCTCAGACTACGTGATTGCTATTGAAAACACGGCTCGAATATCCTATTTTATAATGTTTTTGTGTGACAGTTCTATATTAAATCCATTGGAGACGGATTGACCCTTTCCTCTTTCTAGCTGCTCATACTCTAAAATATCAGATAATAACGGTGTCAATTCAAACGTTTATAGCATCAGAGTACCTAAAACGTTATTTTTCTACAGTCTTTCACCATATATCAGTCTCCGGTGGACTAAGTCTCCGCTTCCGTGTTCTCTTTGTGATAACGTCGTTATTGCCTTCAATTCGTGGCACGGGAGGGTTCTGCTCAATATTCCTTTCCCCACTGAAGCCTCCTTTCCCACTATCTTCTTCTGCTAAGAGTCTTATCGTGCGTGATTGTCACGATAAGAGACTTCATTTTCTCGTATTAACAAGCGACTGTTTTCCACTCTAGTTGGTGGTGTCAAAATGGCCGTTTCTCGTATTTCTGAGAAATATTCACTCTCCAATCGAAAATTTGAAAATAGAAAATTCTAGAATATTTTGACCCTCCTTCGCAGCACTTTTTCGTTGTTAAGGCCTTTTATTGTTCTTTCGTGTTCTGCCGGAAGGTTGTGCTGTGCCAGTCTGGCAGAATGGCACAATTTGTTTTCTAGCTTTGAGCCAATGGCGTTAAGCGCTTTTTTCTCTCGCCGTGTGTTACGGTTGGAACGACTAACATTCTTTCTCGTTTTTAAATGGTCTTCCTGTTAGCGTACATGAAAAGCTCGATGCAACACTGTTTGTTTTCATATTTAAGTGAGTTTGATATCCAGTGCAACGGAAACAATTCATCTCTGGAGTGCGACTTTTGACAAGGCCAACAAAGTTAAACAATGGGCTTCAGGTGACGACGAAGATGATCGGATTTTAAGCTTCAGTAATGTTTTCTTTGGTGATAGCACCAACGAATATGAGCTGAATGTTGTAAATATTAGTGAATCAGCTAAAGTTACACACAGGGCCTGCTCAGTATTAATATAATGCTAACTCAACCCCGTTGTATAGTATAACAGTATCACAAAATTTTCACAAGATATAGTCAATACACAAAACACAACTGATAATCAGATAAGAGTATCCTACAGCTGACTTTCGTCAGTATCAATTTGCCGCCACACTCTTATCAAATCACTGCTTTGTTAAAATCAAACAATCTTTTGTAAAAAGGCAGTGACGATTCAGGAATAGATGAGTAAAACTTAGTCTTAAAGAAAAAGACTTCCCTCAATCGGAACACTACAAAAGAACGAAGCCCAGGACACTGTCTTCTCAAGAGAGTGTGTATTTGCCTAATACACTCACCGAGGTCTTCTTTAATGTGTTCCCGGATTGCCCGAGTTTTCCTATTAAGTAGCTCAAGGCAACCAGACAACCAAAATCACAATCAAAAAAAAAAATTTTTCGGGTACTTCTGATACACCCGATCTAGAATGCAAAGTTGATCACAAATTTCCGGGTCAAATGGGCTCCTGTGATCCTAATATGCACGCCCGTTGTTTGTTGACCTTGCACGCCCAGCCCTAAGTGGATACTTTCCGTTTCTCAAATTGCCCCGGATTGTTTCCCTAAGTTTTCAATAAGGAGGGTTGCTAGGAGGTTTAAGTCACTCTGGAGAGTTACTTCGGAGGGTTGTTAAAACACTTAGCCTACTTTGGAGGGTTACTTCGGAGGATGCCTTAGTCAACCAAAAGACTTCGGAGGGTCCCTTTTAACTCACTAAGGAGGGTCAATAAGAGGCTTAATATGCTCCGGAGGGCTACTTCGGAGGGTTCTTTCAAAATTTTCAAATTTTAGAACCTCACTTAGAAGGGTCTTCAACTAGCCTCAGAAAGCGTCAAAACAAGCTAAATTCTCTATGGGGGGTTGTTTTAACTTCTTCGGAGTGTCTCGTGGAAAATTTCTACTAAGGAGGGTTGCTAAGGCGCTTAAGTCACTCCGGAGGGTTACTTCGGACGGTTCCCCAAAAATCGAGAAAACGGCTTATTCTAGCGCGGTAAAATCCCCGAAAGCAATCTAACTGACTTAAAATCAGGTTGGTTGACACGGTCAATCTTCCCAGTAGGATAAAAAGGTGATTTTATAAAATTTTCTGCCGCTCGGAGGGTTCCCTACAATTTGGACCCTCCGAACCAACAAATTCTAAAACAATTTCCTTTTCCGAGATTATCAACCCAAAAACAGTTGCGGTCCGGAAAATTGACCAAAAACGTCGAATTATAGTACCAAATTTATTCCGATCGGTTGGCTAGTCTTTGAGAAATCGCCAAAAACGCGTTCGTTAAAATGACCTTTTTTCACCACCTATATAGTTTCTGAAAGACTCTTTCCGCAATCATCAGTGAAAGTGTCCAAAATTAATTGGAACGAGCGTAGTAGTCCCGTACAGCACTGGAATAATGCAAAAACCGGACCAAAATTGGTTTGGAAACAAAAATTGGCCAATAACTATCAAATTTGGACCCTCCGATTCCTTCCTTTTCCAATCCTTAAGTCGTTAGCTCTATCGACGGAGCTAATCGGAGGGTTACTCAAATTTTTCTCTGGCAACCGAGCACGAAATGCTAACACGCTCCTAACGCAAAAATTTTTATTGCTCCAACTCCAAAAACTCAATAACTCGATCCCCAAAACTGATTGACAAAATTCAGAAAATTATCAAAATTTTGATCGAAAAAATTTAGTTTTTTCTAACTTCTACTGAGTACCTTTTCTGAGCGGTTTCTTTAGTCAAGGGGATTGAACTGCGTAGCAACTCCCTATATCAAGCTTGTTGCTGTTTGGAAAAGCTCGGATATCCAAAATTTTGGGGGTCTATAAATTGGTCGAAAATCGGTAAATTTCGACAAATTTTGGGTGTTTCTTGGGTCTAAAATGGAAATAAGTAATATTTAATTAGGATAATAATCAATTAGTAGTCATTCATGAATTATACTATACCCTCTTTTGCACAAAAATACCCGAATTAAGACCCTTAACTCGGAAATTTGTGATCGATGGAGGGTACAATCGGACCGCGCCAATCGTGCCACCCACCACTTAACTTTTAATAAAAAAGTACCCGAACGATACTAAAATTGTTTCAACGATACCCAACAGTCGTTGTGGATGTTGTCCCTGATGTCCCTGTTGAGTGGTCACCGGCAAAATCACCATTAACGTGCTCAATACTCAAATTACACTCAAGGGAGGGTACCCAACCCTTCACCGAAACACACAATCATTTTATCAGAAATGATATAAAACAATCTGAAACAACAACAAAAAAGAAGGTCAGATCACATGTCGTCCTGAAATAACATATAAACTGTCATTTTATGTTTTTTACTGTTTTTGGTCTTTTTTGGATTTCTTACTGTTTTTTGTACTTTTTTGTTTTTAAATAAATCTATTTTTGACTTTTCCTTGGTTATACACTATTTTTGTTTGGTTTTACGCTTTATCTATAAATGTTTTATGTCCTGGAACCTCGGGACAAGCGGGCTCTAGATTTCCCACCTAAACCTCCGGCCCCCGGAATTTTCGGTCTTAACTAAGTTAAAAAGCTGAATAGTACTAGGCGGAGGGTACGCACCCTCTCTCTAGCACAATAAAGGTCCTTAAGGCCTCTAACTCGGGCATACGCGCGGAGCGGAGGGTTCGTCGCTGAAACGTTTGCTGATCATGATGGTCTTATGCCTTTAACAGGCCCACCCAAGAGCGCCATAAAAACGCCTATGTAACATTCGCCCGAATACTACACAGCGACGGAGCATAGAAAAAGTACCTATTAACGACTGGCAGGCGTCAGTTACCTTAATTCTACTCGTTTTTTGCCGTCCCGACCTAGCCAGTTGATTTTCTGGTCTGTTTGGGGCTAAGTAAAAGTTACTATTTTCAGGCCATCAGTCAAACGACTTTTGATAACATTTCGTTTATATGCGAACACAACCACTTAGATGAGTCTCGGATCCTCAGACTACGTGATTGCTATTGAAAATACGGCTCGAATATCCTATTTTATAATGTTTTTGTGTGACAGTTCTATATTAAATCCATTGGAGACGGATTGACCCTTTCCTCTTTCTAGCTGCTCATACTCTAAAATATCAGATAATAACGGTGTCAATTCAAACGTTTATAGCATCAGAGTAGCTAAAACGTTATTTTACTACAGTCTTTCACCATATATCAGTCTCTGGGGGACCAAGTCTCCGCTTCCGTGTTCTCTTTGTAATAACGTCGTTATTGCCTTCAATTCGTGGCACGGGAGGGTTCTCCTCAATATTCCTTTCCCCACTGAAGCCTCCTTTCCCACTATCTTCTTCTGCTAAGAGTCTTATCGTGCGTGATTGTCACGATAAGAGGCTTCGTTTTCTCGTATTAACGTGCGAATGTTTTCCACTCTAGTTGGTGGTGTCAAAATGGCCGTTTCTCTTATTTCTGAGAAATATTCACTCTTCAATCGAAAATTTGAAAATAGAAAATTTCTAAAATATTTTGACCCTCCTTCGCAGCACTTTTTCGTTGTTAAGGCCTTTTATTGTTCTTTCGTGTTCTGCTTTTTTCTCTCGCCGTGTGTTACGGTTGGAACGACTAACATTCTTTCTCGTTTTTAAATGGTCTTCCTGTTAGCGTACATGAAAAGCTCGATGCAACACTGTTTGTTTTCATATTTAAGTGAGTTTGATATCCAGTGCAATGGAAACATTTTATCTCTGGAGTGCGACTCTTGACAAGGCCAACAAAGTTAAAGAATGGGCTTCAAGTGACGACGAAGATGATCGCATTTTAAGCTTCAGTAATGTTTTCCTTGGTGATAGCAGCAAAGAATATGAGCTGAATGTTGTAAACATAGAGTATACGGACGTTGATGGAGAAGATGTCAGCAGTGTTTTTTTGTGTCCTGCAGAAAGGTGTGTGAGGCAATCGTTTCATAGTAACCAATATTTATGAAGCATGTCTTTACAATGTTAGTCTGTTACACCAGGAGTGACGGACACTATTCAAATCCAGCTGAAAACCTCCGAAGACTTCAAGCTTGTTCTCAAAAAAGGAAATGGTCCAGTGTACGTCATGGGAACTCAGAGTACCAAGTTTGTCAATGACATGGATGATGCGAGTATGGACGATGAAGAAGATATGAACGAAGAAAGCGAGGCTTCTCCTGTGAAATTGGTGAAAGTAGCTGGGACCAAGAAGAAAATCATCGAGACCGATGAAGAAGACAGAGAAGGCGAAGGCCCAGAGAAAGCGGAGAAATCTCCTCCTGCTATGAAGAAGGAAATTGAAGAACCAAAGGTAGCCTCACTTATATTTGGGTTAAATATTAGTTTTTTTCAGCATCTTCAACTACTGATGTTGAAGCCTAAAATAGACATCTCAGCTTTTTACTTGAACTAAATCTACGATTGAACTGATTTACTTATTTAAACCGCATTTAACAAAAATCAATTGACGTCTATCTATAACTCATGAAATAGTTTACACTCTTTGCGATTCACTAGTTTTATTCAGTCGGATTGGTGATTTTTCGTTTCCCAACTTCTGCTGCACAACATTTTTGGTGCAACGCGACTCACGAACGAACCAAAGATTAGAAACAAAGAGGAAAGTTAAAAATGTCATCACCTGCTAGTGACATGAGCAACGTGACGCTCACACTTTCTGCTTTGAAGCGACCAAGAAGTGCTAACATCGGTGTCATTACCCGATCGGAAAATGCCGTCTCAGCAATCTTCAACAAAGAGGCATCTGCTCTAACCTACAAGGAAATTGGAACTCTCAAGGCCAATCTCACGATGTGCGAACGAAAGAAAAAGGACCTGGAAGAGCTTAATCAGCAAATTTCAAATGTTCTAAACGACGATGAAGATGCACTTGAAGTTGAATTGGAAGAAGCTGAGAAAATCTACCTTCAAGTAGATTGTTTGATGGAAATGATCACAACTATTTTAGATGACCGATGAAAATATTCAACTGAATCGGTCAAAGATGACGACAGCGCAAGCGGAACAGGATCCTACAAATCCACTTCCCAACGTGGTGCTGGCCGAAACCAAGATACTTGGCTGAAGTTGCCGAAACTGAATTCGCCAGCATTTAGCGGAAGGTATGATCAATGGCTACCTTTCTTAGATTCCTTTGATGGAGCAGTTCACTCAAATGCATCGCTGTCTGATGTTCAGAAATACCTAAAGGGTGCCCTCAAGGATGAACCGTTTCGTTTGCTATCCCACTTGCCTACTACAAGCGCGAACTACTCAGTCGCAAGGGAACTTCTAAAGGATCGATAAGCTGATGTCAAGATGATCTCACACGCTCACTTGGAAACAATTTTTGAATTCACTCCAATGAAGCATGAGTCATCCGCTGCAATACGTCGCTTGATTAACACCTACACGGAAAACACGATGGCACTGACAGGACTTGGACTAAAATTGTTTCAAAGATACCCAACAGTCGTTGTGGATGTTGTCCCTGATGTCCCTGTTGAGTGGTCACCGGCAAAATCACCATTAACGTGCTCAATACTCAAATTACACTCAAGGGAGGGTACCCAACCCTTCACCGAAACACACAATCATTTTATCAGAAATGATATAAAACAATCTGAAACAACAACAAAAAAGAAGGTCAGATCACATGTCGTCCTGAAATAACATATAAACTGTCATTTTATGTTTTTTACTGTTTTTGGTCTTTTTTGGATTTCTTACTGTTTTTTGTACTTTTTTGTTTTTAAATAAATCTATTTTTGACTTTTCCTTGGTTATACACTATTTTTGTTTGGTTTTACGCTTTATCTATAAATGTTTTATGTCCTGGAACCTCGGGACAAGCGGGCTCTAGATTTCCCACCTAAACCTCCGGCCCCCGGAATTTTCGGTCTTAACTAAGTTAAAAAGCTGAATAGTACTAGGCGGAGGGTACGCACCCTCTCTCTAGCACAATAAAGGTCCTTAAGGCCTCTAACTCGGGCATACGCGCGGAGCGGAGGGTTCGTCGCTGAAACGTTTGCTGATCATGATGGTCTTATGCCTTTAACAGGCCCACCCAAGAGCGCCATAAAAACGCCTATGTAACATTCGCCCGAATACTACACAGCGACGGAGCATAGAAAAAGTACCTATTAACGACTGGCAGGCGTCAGTTACCTTAATTCTACTCGTTTTTTGCCGTCCCGACCTAGCCAGTTGATTTTCTGGTCTGTTTGGGGCTAAGTAAAAGTTACTATTTTCAGGCCATCAGTCAAACGACTTTTGATAACATTTCGTTTATATGCGAACACAACCACTTAGATGAGTCTCGGATCCTCAGACCACGTGATTGCTATTGAAAATACGGCTCGAATATCCTATTTTATAATGTTTTTGTGTGACAGTTCTATATTAAATCCATTGGAGACGGATTGACCCTTTCCTCTTTCTAGCTGCTCATACTCTAAAATATCAGATAATAACGGTGTCAATTCAAACGTTTATAGCATCAGAGTAGCTAAAACGTTATTTTACTACAGTCTTTCACCATATATCAGTCTCTGGGGGACCAAGTCTCCGCTTCCGTGTTCTCTTTGTAATAACGTCGTTATTGCCTTCAATTCGTGGCACGGGAGGGTTCTCCTCAATATTCCTTTCCCCACTGAAGCCTCCTTTCCCACTATCTTCTTCTGCTAAGAGTCTTATCGTGCGTGATTGTCACGATAAGAGGCTTCGTTTTCTCGTATTAACGTGCGAATGTTTTCCACTCTAGTTGGTGGTGTCAAAATGGCCGTTTCTCTTATTTCTGAGAAATATTCACTCTTCAATCGAAAATTTGAAAATAGAAAATTTCTAAAATATTTTGACCCTCCTTCGCAGCACTTTTTCGTTGTTAAGGCCTTTTATTGTTCTTTCGTGTTCTGCTTTTTTCTCTCGCCGTGTGTTACGGTTGGAACGACTAACATTCTTTCTCGTTTTTAAATGGTCTTCCTGTTAGCGTACATGAAAAGCTCGATGCAACACTGTTTGTTTTCATATTTAAGTGAGTTTGATATCCAGTGCAATGGAAACATTTTATCTCTGGAGTGCGACTCTTGACAAGGCCAACAAAGTTAAAGAATGGGCTTCAAGTGACGACGAAGATGATCGCATTTTAAGCTTCAGTAATGTTTTCCTTGGTGATAGCAGCAAAGAATATGAGCTGAATGTTGTAAACATAGAGTATACGGACGTTGATGGAGAAGATGTCAGCAGTGTTTTTTTGTGTCCTGCAGAAAGGTGTGTGAGGCAATCGTTTCATAGTAACCAATATTTATGAAGCATGTCTTTACAATGTTAGTCTGTTACACCAGGAGTGACGGACACTATTCAAATCCAGCTGAAAACCTCCGAAGACTTCAAGCTTGTTCTCAAAAAAGGAAATGGTCCAGTGTACGTCATGGGAACTCAGAGTACCAAGTTTGTCAATGACATGGATGATGCGAAAAATGGACGATGAAGAAGATATGAACGAAGAAAGCGAGGCTTCTCCTGTGAAATTGGTGAAAGTAGCTGGGACCAAGAAGAAAATCATCGAGACCGATGAAGAAGACAGAGAAGGCGAAGGCCCAGAGAAAGCGGAGAAATCTCCTCCTGCTATGAAGAAGGAAATTGAAGAACCAAAGGTAGCCTCACTTATATTTGGGTTAAATATTAGTTTTTTTCAGCATCTTCAACTACTGATGTTGAAGCCTAAAATAGACATCTCAGCTTTTTACTTGAACTAAATCTACGATTGAACTGATTTACTTATTTAAACCGCATTTAACAAAAATCAATTGACGTCTATCTATAACTCATGAAATAATTTACACTCTTTGCGAATCACTAGTTTTATTCAGTCGGATTGGTGATTTTTCGTTTCCCAACTTCTGCTGCACAACATTTTTGGTGCAACGCGACTCACGAACGAACCAAAGATTAGAAACAAAGAGGAAAGTTAAAAATGTCATCACCTGCTAGTGACATGAGCAACGTGACGCTCACACTTTCTGCTTTGAAGCGACCAAGAAGTGCTAACATCGGTGTCATTACCCGATCGGAAAATGCCGTCTCAGCAATCTTCAACAAAGAGGCATCTGCTCTAACCTACAAGGAAATTGGAACTATGTGCGAACGAAAGAAAAAGGACCTGGAAGAGCTTAATCAGCAAATTTCAAATGTTCTAAACGACGATGAAGATGCATTTGAAGTTGAATTGGAAGAAGCTGAGAAAATCTACCTTCAAGTAGATTGTTTGATGGAAATGATCACAACTATTTTAGATGACCGATGAAAATATTCAACTGAATCGGTCAAAGATGACGACAGCGCAAGCGGAACAGGATCCTACAAATCCACTTCCCAACGTGGTGCTGGCCGAAACCAAGATACTTGGCTGAAGTTGCCGAAACTGAATTCGCCAGCATTTAGCGGAAGGTATGATCAATGGCTACCTTTCTTAGATTCCTTTGATGGAGCAGTTCACTCAAATGCATCGCTGTCTGATGTTCAGAAATACCTAAAGGGTGCCCTCAAGGATGAACCGTTTCGTTTGCTATCCCACTTGCCTACTACAAGCGCGAACTACTCAGTCGCAAGGGAACTTCTAAAGGATCGATAAGCTGATGTCAAGATGATCTCACACGCTCACTTGGAAACAATTTTTGAATTCACTCCAATGAAGCATGAGTCATCCGCTGCAATACGTCGCTTGATTAACACCTACACGGAAAACACGATGGCACTGACAGGACTTGGACTAAAAATTGATCAATGCGATTTGATCTGGGTTCACGTTTTGGCCAAGAAATTAGATCCTGAAACTAGAAGACAATGGGAACTTTCCTGCGCGGGAAGTGACGTGCCGAAAATCAAACAGTTGAAGAAGTTCTTGGAGGAACGATCTCGCGCCCTAGAAGCTACGAAGGACCTCCAGTTACCTTCAATTCATAGAAAAAATCATCAAGGAAGTTCAGACCAATCTGGAAACTCTAAGAAAGATGACAAGGTACAGACATACCACACGAACTCTGCTAAGACGATCATCTGCCCATGCTGCAGTGGTGATCACCGCGTGTATCAATGCACAAAATTTCAGGAAATGTCTATTTCCAATAGAAGACAAGAAGCCAAATCAAAGCGATTATGCTTCAATTGCCTGTCCCTTGGACACCAAAATCATGAGTGCAAATCGAAGTCAACGTGCCAAACCTGTCGAAAGGGTCATCACTCGTTACTTCACATCCATACAGACCCAAACAAGCAACCGGGACCTGAAAATAAGTTGGCGGGTCCCGGGAGTACTACCGGTGCCACTACCATGCTGGGAACTGTACTAATTGAGGTGAAAACTGCAAGTTATCACAATTGTCGAGCCTTACTGGACAGCGGATCTGAAAGCAGTTTCGTTACAAACAGCTGTGCTAACCGACTCAAGCTTCCAATCAAGAAATTGACTCTTCAACTAACTCGAGTTGGCTGAGGAGCAAAAACTGTGAAATCTGGTTCTGTCAATCTGGAAACAAAGGATTCTCAGAATCAATCTCTACATATTGAAGCCTTCACTCTTCAAAAACTTTCTGGCTACCTGCCCAGAGAACGGTTGAATATACCGAACAGTTTGGATATCATACGTCTTAAGCTCTCGGACCCAGACTTTGATAAACCAAAGGAAATCGATATAATCCTAGGCTGTGATGTCTACAACGACATTGTTGGCTGCGGAAAGATTAAGCTTACAGACAAGCTTTATGCACGTGACACTCTATTTGGTTGGATGATTAGCGGCCGAACTCCCGGTCCTCCAACAACCTTCTTCAAGTCATTTTATGTGTCTATTGACGATAGTCTAAGGAAATTTTGGGAATTAGAAGAAATTCCTGATTTCAAAAAGACAACAACAGAAGAAGATCGATGTGAATCTCACTTTAAGGAAACAACCATACTACAAAATGGACGATTCACCGTGCAGCTGCCTTTCAAGCCCAAAAGTCAACTTGGCGACAGTTTAGCACAAGCAAAACTCAGATTCAATTATCTCGAGCGACGACTGGAACAGAATCCAGAACTAAAAGATCGCTATACCGCATTCATAGACGAATTTCTCGATATGGGGCATATGGAGTACATACCGCCTGGAGAAATCGAAAAGCCAGTTGATAGCGTATATTATCTGCCACATCACTGCGTTTTCAAGGAAGATTCTACTACCACAAAGCTACGTGTAGTTTTCGACGGATCTGCAACAACATCAACCGGACAATCACTCAACGACACTTTGATGGTTGGTCCCACGGTACAAGACGACCTCTACTCAATAATCATGCGCTTCAGGTTCTACCCAATTGGTTTATCAGCAGATATTGCAAAAATGTACCGACAAGTTGCTCTAGAGGACAAATCGAAGGATTTCCATCGCATACTTTGGAGATCAAATAAATCGGATGAAATCAAGCATCTCAAGATGACACGTGTTACATATGGAATAGCTTCGTCAGCTTTTCACTCAACAAGATGCCTCAATGAAGTAGCAGATTAATCTAAGAACCCAATGGTCAAAGATAGTCTCAAAAATTGTTTCTATGTAGACGACTTTCTTGGTGGCACTAATGATAAGCATGAAGCAGAAAGACTCATCTCTGATTTATGCGAAGAGCTGAACTCTCATGAATTCCCTCTACGAAAATGGACTTCAAGCAATGCTAAAATAATTGAAGGATTGCCAGAACATCTCCGCGAAAAATCGGATGTGCTGGAACTTTTCTCTGACGAATACAAAATCAAGGCGCTAGGAGTCAGTTGGAAGCCCAATAAGGACATCTTTTGTTTTTCAACTGCCTTATCAGAGCTGAAACTGTTTACAAAGAGGACTCTTCTGTCCACAATTTCAAAATTGTTTGATCCGATGGGATGGCTAGCTCCATTCATCATCAATTTCAAATGTCTCATGCAACAGCTATGGGTCCAAGGTTTTGATTGGGATTCTGAAGTCGATCAGGAAACCACGGAAAATGGTATGAGCTCACCGGAACATTGCCTCAACTACTGGAACTACAGATACCAAGATCTATGAGCTCACATCCAATAAAGGAGGTACAATTTCACGTATTCTGTGATGCTTCCGAAAAAGCATATGCAGCCGCAATCTATGCAAGAATTACAGATGATGATGGCAAAACCTTTGCGTATCTACTGACCTCCAAAACAAAGGTTGCTCCGGTCAACGCAATCTCTGTTCCCAAATTAGAGCTCTGCGGTGCAAGTTTAGCTACCAAACTTCTTAAATCAGTTCATTCAATTTTGAGGAAAACAAATCTGTTGAGATAACTTCACACGCCTGGACTGATTCAACAATTGTCTTGCAATGGCTTGCTCAACTTCCAAGAACGTGGAACACTTTTTTTGCAAACAGAATTTCACAAATACAAGAGACCCTACCCAGAAGTGGTTGGAAACACGTGCCAACAGCAGTAAATCCAGCTGATTTAGCCTCTCGTGGTGTATTAGCTGACACATTAATATCTTCCTCACTCTGGTGGAATGGACCAGATTGGCTGACCAAGGATGAAAGGCACTGGCCCAACCTACAACCATCTCTAGTTGAAGCACCTGAAAAACGAACCGTCAAAGCCAAGACTAATGCAGAAAGTGAACAAATTCGAACTGTTCTCGCAAATCATGCTCAAAACGAAGAAATGACGGATGGAATTTTTCGTTTAAAGGACTACAGCACTTGGAACAAGACAGTACGCATCGCATGCTATTTACTATCATTTGTTCAACATCTTAAGCATAGAATATCGACAAACTATCGGAAGCGGCTCAGATCTAAGCGGACATCTGATGTACAACTTGAAGAAGATTGTCTTAGTCCTAAAAATAGAATCATGGCAAAAATGCTAACTCTTCGTTTAGACCAAGAAAAACACTTCAAATCAGAGCTAAATTGTCTGAAGGTGAAAAGGGAGCTGAGTAAAACATCGAAACTACTCAATCTTAGTCCGTTTTTCGACAAGAATTACGATCTACTAAGAGTTGGAGGCAGACTTTCACTATCGAACTACCCAACAGACAAGAAGTTTCCAATACTCGTTTCGGAAAAATCTGATTTAGTATCCCTACTTATACGCAAATATCATGAAGATACTCTTCATGGCGGGGGGCAATTAGTACTGAACACAATGAGAGAGGAAATTTGGATAATCGGAGGCCGTGATCTAGTTCGACAGTTCATTAGAAGATGCATGAGATGTGTCCGATTTAGTCAGCAACCTACTTCTCAATTCATGGCTAATCTTCCTACAGAAAGAATAATGACCGCAAAACCATTTGCTCAATGTGGAATAGACTTTGCTGGTCCCTTTGAAATTAAGGAAGCAGATGTCTCAAAAATTTATGTTGCCATCTTTGTTTGTCTCGCGACAAAAGCTATTCATTTGGAAATGGTTACTCGTCTAACCGAAGAAGCATACATCCTTCCATTGAAACGATTTACTGCACGCCGTGGTAAACCTGAGAAGATCTTAAGTGACAATGGAAGCGATTTTATCGGGGCTCGAAATGATCTGATCAAAATCAAGGAACTGCTCGACAAAAATGGAACGGACAAATCAGTTGTTAGTTTCGTCAACAGCCAACGAACTGAATGGGTCACCATCCCTCCACGTGCTCCTCACTTCGGAGGACTCTGTGAAGCAGCTGTAGAAAGTATGAAGAGACATATGCGAAAAGTTATTGGACTGCAACGTCTCAGTTTTGCAGAATTTCTTACAATTCTTAATCAAATTGAAGCTGTCTTAAACTCACGACCATTGTATCCAATGTCAAGTGATCCTAAGGACCCAACTCCGCTGACACCCGCTCATTTTCTGATAGGGGAATCATTGCTAACTCTTCCCTCTGCTGACATCCAAGTTTCAACCAATGTACGATATCGACTATTACAGAATATGATCAAGGATTTCTGGAAAGTTTGGAAAAGGGATTACCTCATAACGCTACAAATACGGAAAAAATGGTTCACGGATGGCCCAGAATTTAAAGTTGGCAACCTAGTCCTACTTGCCGAAGACAATGAACGACCGCTAGAATGGAAAACTGGACGAATCATAGAAGTTTATCCTGGAAATGACTTGATTGTTCGAGTGGTAAAAGTGAAGACCACAACTGGTGAATACATACGCCCAGTCGCGAAGCTGCGGAAGCTACCAGTATAGCAACCTAGTCATATCCAATGTGCAGTTCATTTAAAACAAGAACTAAAAATCGAAAAATATCAAAAATGTGCAGTTTTCAAATTTTAAGTGGTAGTACCCCCATGACCCTTTTGAAAGAAGGAACCTAAATTACCCCTATGCAATGCATTATGGTCTGAATCGTTCATATTGACCACTTTCGTGTAAATTCCCAATATTGTATGTTCATAAAAGTCGAAAATGATGTAAATTTTCATCAATTTTAGTGCAAAATCGTGCATTAAAATTCGTATGAGGTTGTACCCTCATGACCCAAAATGTAATTATTGTCTGAAAACAGCTAGGATACGCCTACTCTACTGTCTTGAATGTAACAATAGGTTCTCTGATCACGTCAAACTGTTAAAATGTTATATTTGCCTTTAAATTATATTCAAAGATGTCGTATTGTAATGATTTACAACCATTAATTCCCATAAAATGTTTTTCTAAGTACACAAACTTTCGCTCATGACTCGTACCATTAATACTTCACTTGTATACTCCATACTTATGGTGCAGTCACATTTAGTTCATTTATTGAATAATTGCTTACATATTTACCGTTGAACAGTCATTCGCTGTCATGCGATTCGCTGTCATCTGGTCCTCTTCGCTTGTTGACCCTGCAGTGTTGCTGGCAGCGCTTCCACGCAGATGCTACCAAGGAAATTCGAGTTTGCATCTCCGCATAGTACATGCAGCAGACCCTCTCTTCGTCGCAGAGAGTCAGAACTGCATGGCACCACGCATATGGAAGATACAAACTTTTCCCCTTCTCAAGAACACCCTAGCGGAGCAGTTTCTTCTGATGAGAACCAAGGTTCCTCAGATATTTAGCAGCATCAGTGAATCCCATCTCCGAATCATTGCTACCGGCCAGGCGCTCAAGTTCACCAGAGAGATTGACTTCAGATGTCATCAGCCACAACTTTCGACCCCCCAGAAGACACAAAACAGCATCATCTTCCTCATCCAAGTCTTGATGGAAAGTCCGGAAGGACGAGGACTCTACAAAAATACCTTGGAGAAAAGAAGAAAAGTCCTGCTTCGGCCATCTGGTCTGACCTCCAGACATGACGCCAATAACACCTTTAGCTGTCACACTAGGAGTCTCTCGACAGTTAACTCCAACCTCCCAGCCAGTGCACAATGACCCTTCTACGCTGAGGTTACTAATACGTTTAAGACCTCTAAGTTGCTTCTAAAACAAAACAAACAATTGATGCACACCCGCTATACTCTACTACTTTGATACAATGGAATAAATGCTCTCAGCTTTCGGAAACCGCAGAACTGCCCTATCCACGATTGCAGCTTCCTTCCTTGAAGACTGGATCTCATCCAACGACTTAACAGGAATCGGAGTGAAACCCTCTGGTCACTGCATCGAAGAAACCCTGCAGGTCCTCCCGGTCGACAGCGCCCCGCCTACTGGACCTTCGCACCTCGCCATGTGGAGGCAGACGTGGTGCTCTACCCGACTCCGCCCTACTCTTCCTCTCCTTCGTCTCATACACTGTAAATGGGTAGTCATATCCAGACATAATAACGATCTGAAAATTGAAGACACTTCAAGGG